TGGAATGTGTTATGGAGATTGTTTACCAAAAGGAGGGAGTTTGTTGGACTCTGCTGATGGTTGTTTGGATTGATTGGCCAGTTAGGTCAAAGCTGTGTCATGACTGTCTCCAGACAGTCACGGGTTTTTCTTTAGGATCTTTTTACTATAGTTATAATATAGTATTAGCATAATATAATATAACTTAATAAAGCATTTCTTCAGCCTTCTGAAATCATGGAGTCAGAGCACATTATTCCCTATGTTGGTCGCCCTGCGTTGATAATACTCCAGGTAGGATTTAGCACGCAAGTAGTCAAATTGGACTACAGGTTTCACTTTCATTCCCAAAGCATGTAGCAATAGAAGGTGTGCTGCTATAGCTGCAATTAAAAGCACATAGTCTATCTTGAGGTTTCCTCAGAAAACAAAAGAGATCCTGGGGCTGGTTTACCAGTCAAATGTTGGCTGTTGCTGTTTGATGAGCCACACTTGACATAAGCAAAGAGCAAGCAAAGGATCAATTCTAGATCAAGTTTATGATCAAAAAACCTCATGGTTTGGGAAAGGTGGAATATTGAATTTGCAGTTCAAACTCCCCGGATTTAATGTGTATTTAGGCATTTCAAAAGATGCTGAAAGTTTGAAGACAGGTAGTGGGGGGAATATATATGTGAAAAGGTGGGAGTAGAAAAAGGGAGAACCATATTAAAACAATAAGGATCTGAAAAAATTATTTGCTCCACTGTTCACTAATAACTCATTTTTTATTTTCTCTTTACAGAGAAGTTAATGATACTCTAAAAATATAAGCATTTCATGTTTTCTGGGGTTCCCTGAATATTGTATGATTTAAGAAATCATGCAATCCTATATGCATAATCCTTGCAAATATACATAAGGTGACTCCTTCTCTATCCTTTGCCATAATTCTTAGTACATTCTTATTTATAAAATTTCAGCAGAGTGTCTTGCTGCAGTTGGGATGGAAAACATAGTAAACACTAGAAGCTATTGCAGGTAATTATTAATTACGTAACTAGTTACTATTACACTCCACAGCTAATTACCAAAAGTAATTAATAAACACAAATACAGAGCAATTCATAGAAAGCCATTCAATATTAAAGGATTTTGAAAGTCTTAACACTTTAGGTTATGCATGGAAAGTAATTTTGACATTCACAGCCAAAATTCCATAGTTGCAGCAAATTTCTATTCAGAGAATTCACAATTTTTCCCTAGGGGAAAACAAAACAAAGCACACGTCATAGAGCAAATCAACTGATAAACTAGATTGTTGGTAGCCTGATGGAGATGGGGTTGCTGCACCTTCCCATTTTTAATCCCTGATTTAGAAGCAATGTGAGGTCAAGCGCTGTTCCCACAAGGCACAGACACAGATGCACCACGCAACGGGTGACACGCAAATGGAATAGCTCAGCACTCAAACACAAACAGCACAAACAGCCTCATTCTTCTCCAGCTGACCAGAAGAAAGGATGATTTATAATTGAAAATATACTCACAAACTCAGCATGGATTACTCCTGTAATTTGCCATACTTGGTCTATCCAGTAGCCAACCCCTTGCACTTGGTGCTATCTCAGCATCCAACTCTGGGGCCTTCAGCTGCCTCCCAGCTCCAGATACAGACCCCCTTTTTATCCTAGACATATTCCCACATCTCCACTCAACCCAGTACACTTATTGATCCCTCACAGCCTTACACACTGAGTATATCCAGTAGCAGTACCTGGACCCCTTGGGCCCTCAGTTCCCACAGCCATCCAGCTGGCTCCTGGCTCCCTGGTCTCCCCTTGCCTGATGCACAGAGATACACAACTACAAACAGGACTACCAAGCCACATACCACACAGTTGCTCTAGACTGGTCTTGGCTCCTCCAACAGCTGACTTCTGAGCTTCCTGGTCTGGACTTTTGGCCAAATGGATATCCATCACCCAAACCACTCATCTAGCTGGCTGACCCTGCAGTAATAGTATACTGGCATAGACACCCGTGTAATACACTTACAGTCTGCATTTTCCAGTTTGCTGACACCAGACACACACACCAGACCCCTTTAACTCATTGTCCTGCTCCAGCTGCTAGCACTTATATCTCCACTCACACACGCATGCAAGAGAGAGACCTTTTACTCAGGAAATGGAGTTGGAAATGGAACATAATAAAACATGGAACAGATTGCTGATCCAGGGCAGGGCATGGCCAGAAAATAGTTCTGAGCAAAGCCTGTTTGCATATGGCTGGCCCCTTTTATCCACTTATTTCTCCATTTTCTCTTGCTCTTCTTCCACACTCCTTCTCAATCATCCCTTTCCCTGTCTATGGTGGTCCCTCTAGATATCCAAGAGTAAGTATGTACAGTTCCCATCATCTACATCTCATAATGTGTCCCATGGGCCTGTAATCAGTAGCTTTGTCAGTTGGGAGGGTGATCAGGCCAGTGTCTCCTTTTGATTCCTCATGATGGGTTTCAGCCCTGGCCCATAGGGCTGAGGCTGTCCTGGGTCAACCCTAGGAGGACCCAGGATATTTAGGGCAGGGGATTTTCCTCTCACTGCACTGCTCCTATGCCCCACTTTGAGTGTGTGGATAAGAGCCTTTTATCAGATAAGCTGACAAAGCTCTTCTGCCAGGAACACACTATTTTCCTGCTTCAGAGTTTGTAATTTGGTGCTGTTCCTTTATTATACTTTAAATGTATGAATTCTATAGCCTTATTCTATGATCTTATTTAAACGATTCTAACCTAAGATTCTAATGTCAGGATCTTTCTCTTTCCCTCTTTTGGACCTCCTTTGTTGTAAAGGAAGTTTGTGCATGTAAGTGCAAATTCAGAAGACTTCCAAATAAAGTATAGTTAAGCTGGAATTGAACAATTGAGGTATTAGGAAAAAAAAGCCACAGAAATGCTTACAAATTCAGAAGAGTGATGTTTTCAGAAATGAGTGTTAAACCCGAAAAATTCAAAGTGAACTTTTATAGTGAAAAATGCTATTCATCCATAATTTCCCATCTTTTCCAATATTCTTCTTCCCATGTCATCATGTTAAATTAAATTAACTGCTATTGTAAAATTATAAAAAGGCAGCTCATAAAAGCAAAAAGCTTCCTCCTATTTTTTCACTGTTGCACTATTTATCTCATTTCACTTTTTCATAGACTATGGGATCAGAATAATTTTCATATTCTATACAAATATCAAAAATAGTTTAAATTCATATAGTGTTATTAAATACTTGTCAAAGCCTAAGGCTGGAAGAGTGAAAATACACCACCATCTGTTGTTTCATTATAACAATACTATTTCTTGTGATACAGACTTGATACAGAGAATATCTATTATGATTCTTCACTGACTGAATAGCAGCTCCAGACTACAAGTTCTATTCCATTATAAAAAATAAAAAATTCAGGCCATTTCTTCAGAGTGCCTAAATAGTTTTCTAAATATGAACTAGTTATATTCCTAAGGGCATGGGGAATGTGAGGACTGTACCAGAGATTTTCCATTCTAGGCCTTTCTAACATAAGCCCACAAATTTTTAGAAAATTTTAGGTCAAGGCAGGCCTTTCTAACATAAGCCCACAAATTCTTAGAAAATTTTAGGTTGAGGCAGACCTTCTTCTGAGGGTCATGGAGTTTGGTCTCCTAATCAAAGCAGCACTAACCTCAAAGCTCTCTGAAATGGCACAGATGCACTTCTGCTGTAGTGAAACCAGGGTACACCTCCAAGTACCACAGAGACCGATGTACACAAGCCAAGAAACTTAAGTGCAAAATCAGTAAAATGGAAACCATTTACACTCTAGGTATTTTACTTCAGCACATTCAAAAAGTCATTATTATTCCCTGCAGTTAACTAGGGAAAACTACACTGTCCAGTGTGCTTTATTTTTCCCCCTCAGTATTTGATATAGACAGGGAAAAACAGTTAAAAAAATATATATAAAAATATACTCTCTTAAATTTTATTTACCAATTATTAAGGACTTCAAATACACACTAAAAATGTATAAACATGTTAATATCATTATCATAATAATGATCATAATAAAAAATCACAAACTAATAACTGTTGTGATACGGCACAAAATGATGACACAGACACTGCTGCTCTCGAGGGGAACAAAAAGGAAGAAGAAGAAGAACTTTATTTTCTGACTCCAACATTTATAGTTTTCCAAAGGTGACAGTGGATTGGAGGGTGACAGTGCCACCTCTCCAATGCCACTGGACAGACCAAGGGTCCATCAATTCTCTCTACCTCCATGAAAGAATGCAAAACATAAGTTATTTACAGAACTGTGTGTAAGAAAGTTTGTTGAAAGAATGCAAACATCAGAAGGCTTAACAAAGTCTTATAAAATCAGGGCGACAAATAACAACTGCCATCCCCAAAAGAGATTTCTCCTCTCTTTAAATAAATCAGTTTTGATACATTACGCATGACTTACACTTTGTGAAAAAGAAAAAAACAGGGTGATACATAGAGTTTAAGCATAAATATTTCAGTTCATTCTACTTCTCAAATCATAGAATGAATTTTCAGTTAAATGACAGTCCTGCAATTTTATGAAAAACACAAATTATAACAATGTATAATGGCACAAGTGTTGAAGCACACATCCAATAATCCTCCCAAGCCTATCCTTCAGACAAAACAAAGCATCGAAAATCATGTCTTAGGCATATTTGAGTCACTTCCTAAAGAGAGGCTTGAAAAGATGAAAGAGTGCTATTGCAGTATGGCTGAATGCCTCACATCATGACATGATGCAGAATTAATTCTGTACACAGCAGGCTCATTTTAGTACTCAGCAAAACAGAGCAACTTATAAATTTCATAGTGGTAAAGTAAGAAGCGGCCTACAAAATCACTAAGAAAAAAAAGTCCACATATCTACATTGTGTACATTGCATTTCACTTAATAGACTTAATTAACTGCAACATAATAGTTAAATAATTTGAACAGAAATATAAAATACCCACCTGTTTTGGGGTCAACAGAGAAATATGGCTGTCCCTGAAGAATACTGTACACTACTCTGGCACTGTTTCCATATGTAGGGTCATCTGCATCTGTGGCTGTCACCTGTAGAACAGATGTACCTGTATATACAGGAAAATAAACATTAACTTGCAATAAATAAAATTTCCCAACAAATATTTTCAAATACATTAAAAAAAGCCTCTGAAGTCCTCACATTCTAAAACTGAGAGATTAATAGCATGTTATCATCACATATTTTTTAAAGGAAAAATAGTTACACTAATTTGAAAAAAATTGTGTATATGTGTGTATGTGTAAATTGATCACACACATGCAAACTTAAACAGAAATTACAGAGATGTAAATATAAATAGTAATTATATAGCATGTAATTACAATAAAATAGTAATTACAATAAATAGTAATAACATGCATATTTACATATGTTCACACACATAGATCCCAAACTTGTATATTGACTTCTAAATAACACAGGTTTATGGACTTCAGGATTATCTTCATCTACAATACAAATTAATGTTGAAGAATTAAAAGTAACTTGCATAAATTCCCCCAAATGAATAAAAGCTGCTAAATGAATAAAAAAAGTCTAGCTATTGGAACGCATCAAAGATCTGAAAATGAAATAACTTCTAGAAACTAGTTGGGAATGCAAATTGGAAAGATGAGTTCAAAAGACTTTTTTTATACTAGTAACAAAAAACACTAGAAGAATAAAATCACAGTTTCTAGCATATCACTGGGTGGGTTTAGTTATGAGTAACCCTTTTGAGAAAATAAAATGCATAAGTACTGCACAGATAGAATGGAGACAAGTGATTTTTTTTCATTTCAGTGTATTTTTCAAGGCATGAAATAATGAATCTTTGCTATCACTGCCAAACACTTCCCATAAGAAACCATCAGTAAGTGTATTGTGAGTTAATAAAGGCTCAGACTTCATTCTATTTGTTTATCTTTATGCAGACACAGCTTTATACCTGTTCCTTGGTCCAGCATTAAAATACCACAATAATAACAGAACAGGCTGCTCTTACATAACACTGTATCTGAAAGCAGATTCTCATCTAAATTAACCACTGAGGTATCACATCGACTCTGAGGTGTTCAATTCACTTTTAGTGGAGAGGAGAAGGGTTTTTGAATTGAAACACTTGATCTCCTTCATTTTGTTACACTTTGATTTTTCCTTACAGAACTGTTTCAGAGAATGCTAACTAGATTTCTTCAGATGCAACTAAACCAGGAGAAGTGCTTTAGCAGCACATCTGATTTATTCTGACTGCTAATAGGCACGTAGCCTCAGAGACCAGGCAAGAGCTAATCTAAAATAAGATTTCACAAATACATATGGCATCAGTTTCTCATCAGTTTCTCAGTTCCAGTTATTCAGCCTCTTAGATCAATTTGTATTGCACAGAAATATTTGTTAATGTGCACACCCTCAGTATACTCTTGATTTAGAAGTAAGTAAAGTCATGGAGTCACACTTCAGGTGAAGCAATCTAACCATGCAAACCTTCACAGATTTGGTTTCTACTCTCTTTGAGAAACTCTTCATTCACTTTTACCATGCTAACTTGGACACCAAGAGGTGCTCTTTGTATCTCTACTGGAGACTTAGTAAAACTATATGCAAATGCTATGCATACTTAAATACAGTGTCTTCTGGTCTCTGAAAAGCCCAAGTGTATACAGTCTCACAGATAAATGTATTAACAAACCAAGTATAAGGATACTTGGATGAATTTGAAGTGGAATAGTGTAATAAAATCAAGCCAGAGCTAGTTGTATGTTCACAATTATTCAGAAGTTAATGTTATAGGTAGCTACTAAACTACTGTGTTTGTGTTCATGTGGAAAGGTAAACAAATGTGAATGAAAGTTTGTGTATTTTTTCTTACAATGTTCTAGAAATCAGTTCAGGCCTATTTATTTGCTACCTAAACACAGACAAAGAGGTCACTTCCAGGAACAGACATTTCCCCCTGCTAGTCCATGACATTGAAATGCTGTAATGATATATTTCTGTAGCCCAGTTTGCAAATAATTTCTAGCTTGAGAGGAACTTGTAGGGTTCAACCTTGTGGAATCATTGAAGATTAATAGGTTACGGATGCAGAATGATTTTATTTTATTTTGTTGTTGTGATAAAAAAAAAAGCATATCCATTCAACTGGTATAGTCAATCACCTACCAGAGTTTACTATCCAGAATGCTGGCCAACCTCTGTACCTTTTTGTCTATAGTTTTTCCTTTTTCCAGGAAAACAGTTACCAGCAGTTACCAACAGTTACCGAACTGTGAGTTTCCATTAGCACTTTTCCTCAGAATTCTAGGAAATCAAGATAGGTCAAATTTGGCTATTTCAGAAATAAAAAAAAAATCAGAAATATTGTTATTTCATAATTCTCTCCTTCTTTGAAGACTTCCTTCTCTCTTCTTGTTTTAAAAGAATCTTAGTGCTTGTATAACTCATTGATGTGCGAGAAAAGAAACAGAACCAGTAAAAGGCAGCATGTGACGTAAGCAGCTGACTGGTCATTTTAGCATGAATGGAATGCCATTGCATCCAAAAATTTGCCATAGTGATTTTCTAATACAACTGTATCTGTCTCCCAAGAATCGCCTGATAATAGCAATTTAGTATCAAATAGTGGCAAAGTGTTCTCCTTTTACCTAAAAGAACACTTAGGATCTTAAATTTTAACTCATCCTCCCACCCTACCTCTCAAACTCTCATTCAGTGGAATGTAGCACTTAGAAGCTTAACTTCTTCACTATCTCACACAAGCACACTCAGTATTTCATAAGATATCCCCATACCAGCCTTTTGCCCCACTCTTGCCTGATTTGCTGAGCACTGAGGAAAGGCAGCCTGTGAAAGCTTGAAAGCTGCCGGTTAGAATGCCTTCCAAAAAAAAAAAAAAAAAAAAAAAAAAAAAAAGGCAAAGTGGGTACTTTTACCCTCCAATTACTCCTTTCAAAGTTAGCATCATTCAGGCTCATCTGCATGACAGGCAAATCACAATTCTGGATTTCTGGATACATTTGTATCATTTAGATGCAGCATAATTTTTTGTTGTTGAGCTAAGTGTCATTAAGGATTTAGATAGAGAATTACACAGTAGTGCACTCTTGCTATTTTAAATGTTAAAAAGTAAAAAAAAAAAAAAAGAACAGTCAGCTACAAAAGATAAAGGTCTAATTTCTCTGGACACCACAGCAGAGAGGTGAACATCAGACCTGTACCTTCTCTTCTTCCTTTACTAACTTACTGTGAGAGTTCCAGTCAAGAAAGTTTTGCAATGAAAGAATTTTGTCCCTCCAGTTAGGAAATAAAAATTAAGTTTTTCCCCTAACTGAAATCTCTGCTTATTCAGAGTACAACTAGCATTTCATGCTTTCCCTGTACATTTCAGAGCTTACATTTTGGGCACTCTCTTTTCTTAGTTAATGCTTTATAAAGAGCTGTAAAACATGTCTGTATGCTCTGAATACCACTTTGTATGTTTTGTCTTTTTTTTTTTTTTTTCCTTGTATTAAAAAAAGGATTATTCAATTGGGGGAACAAAATTGCATTTTTTATTTAAAAATATCTCAGTTTGGTTTTTCTCTTTTTTTTTTTTTTTTTTCTTAATATACAGTTTGCAAGAAAAAATTTTGTGAAGATATATCTCAAAGAAAAGCTGAAAATGAATATTGCAATTTGTCTCTCTGAAGACAATTTTTTAATTTTTAATGCGGCAGTTCCATAAAATACATCTGCTGAGAATGCAAATTTTTATGCATTATTTTTCATAGTTGTCTATACTATTGAATCTCAAATGGATTAACGTTTAACAAAAAACTTTAAAGAAATTTTAAAAAGGTGAAGTTTAATAAATGCAGGGATCCTTTTGCTCTGCCTAACCAAAGGAATTCTCAATACTGTCTGAAAACACTAACAAGTCAACAAAATATGATTTAATTTCACAGCACAGAAAGTTAAATAGGCACTTTGAATAAAAATCATATTTATGAACAACATTGTCTTCCAGATTATCTGAAATTATGACTACCTCACATTGGAATACTCTCAAAAGAAGTTCAGAAATGTCTACTGTGCCTATTAATTTCTTAAGTAGAATTTATTGGGAATACTCTTCTTATCAGAGAATCACAGAATTGTTAGGGTTGGAAGGGCCATCAGGAGGTCATCTAGTCTCAACTCTAAACTATCTCAGCACTAAAAATTTAGCATGGAGAGTTTCACTCATTTTGGAGCTGACAATTAACACATCTGGAAGTCTTTTACTGACTTAAAAATATCCTTATTTTCTTTTGATTTACATAAAGATGACTTTCACAAACCTTAAAGCAGACTACAGAGATGTCAGTATAACTGAGTTTTTCATACTACAGAAGAAATAATTTCAGATCTAAATTTTGATTCTTGAGCCAAATTTTATGGAAAAGTTTAATTGAAGGCAAAGAATAGACATTTTCTTTCATCTCTCCCAGAATAGTACATAAAGCATAAATAGTATGTGTATTTTGTGTCACAGTGAAATCTGTGGTCTAATATTTGCCAAAAAAATTTAAAATTTTTTTTCTACTTACTTGTCAATGACTTGAAAAAGAAAAGCCATAAAGGTGCTACAGCATTTGCAACTAGACTGAGTTCAAGTTGTGGGGAAAATACCAGCTAGAATCTTGAGGAGACAAACAAGAACCTGCTGCTGAAACTAAGCAAAATAATGGAGATCAAAAATAATGCCACTTAGCATGACAACTGTTACAGAGAGACAGTAATTTTTAAAGATCTTTAAATGGTAACGTAAAAATCAGAAAAAATATTCAGAGTGCGAATAGAAATTAGAAAATTAAAAAAAAATAAAAATAGAAATTTAGAAATTCTCCTTAGAAATTCACAGAAAAACACCAACAAGTTCAGTTATGTGTAGACTCCACAGCTAAATGTCAAAAAAACTATGCTAATTATAAAAGTAATAAAAGAGACAGAGGTATCGCCGTCATTTGACACAAAGAATGTATCCTGTGGAAGCAGTAACAGAATTAGTCTTTCTGCAATTGTAGACAATAAAAATGCTTTCAGAATGTGAAAAATAGAAACAAATCAATTGGAGAAAAAAGAAAATAGAGATAATAAATCTGCAATGAAAATATAATGTATACCTACAATAGAATGCCTGTGTGCTAGGATATGAAAATTCAGGTTTATTCACACAGGTTTATTCACACAACACAAAAGTCTTGTGGAATAGATATTTTAATGATTTGCCTCAAGTACAACCAGGAAAGTTTTTGGTCGTGTTTTTTTTTTTAAAACATTGTAGTGGTTTTGGTTTGCTAATTTGAAATTTTATTAATTTTGAGGTTTCCTGGTTAATGTACTAATGAGTGTGGTGGTTTTCAGCATCAACATCAAAATGGTTTATACAAAACATAAGCATAAATTCTCGATTATTCTAGTAAAATTTCATTGGTTTACCGTAATCCACTCTGTTTTACAACACAAAATATCATCCCAGATTATTCACATAATTCTTTGCAAAACATTACCATGTTTGATGTAGTTGAATAGTAATACCAGATTCTGATTACTGCAGAATTATGACTAACATTTATGTAAGAATGCTCAATATTGAGAAGATGAAAGAAAAATAAAACTTTCATGAATATAATACAAGTAAAAATTATTACATCAGCTACTTTTGATTTTGAAGATAATATTGATCTCTCTTCCATTATCTTTCCTCCTATGTAGAGAAAAAAATTCCTCTAAAGGTGAAGGAAATAATCAATTAAAATGGTTTCCATTAAAGACAAAGAAAACCAAAGAAAAAGAAAGATGGAGTTACACATTTTTGGAAACAGTTGGTAAAGGAAATGAATTCCTCATTAAGACAGTCTGTGGTGTAATAGGAGATAACTGAGTTAAAAGCTTTGATGATACTGAAATGAACCGCAACTCTAGCAGTAAAGCTTTGTGCCATAGTGAATTATCAAAGACAGTTGAAGAGGTTTTGTTCAGAGCCAGAGTATTCTTACTGGAAGCTCTATGCACTCATTGTAATAATTCACACAAACATGTATTGTTTGCATTGTCATGGATTTATGATATTACTCACAGAAATACTGCACTTTTGTCCTTGTGAAAAATCTGTTGGCAATTCCTCTATTAAAGGAAAGTCATAAACTAATTTCAACACAAGAGAAGTATTAAATAAAGAAAACACATTGCATAATGCAGCACCTCATAGAATAGGAATATCTGAACTACGAACAGGAAAAACCAAAGACTGGTATGTTTTTGAGCTTCAGTTCACTTTATAAGAAACTTGATAATTAACATATATCTAATATAATCTAGGAAACTACTGTTCCTTTGTGTTTAATTCTGTGAATTGTATAGACTGCTAATGTAGACATAAGAGAATACCATAAAGTGTGCAGTTGAACGAGGATATGTGAATACGTCTTTTTTTAGAATGGAAACTGCAATTTGCCAAAGAATGTATGTTAAAGCATTCAAGATTAAGAATGGCTCTTCTCTTACAACCAGCACGTGTGTGTGCATACTGTTTTCTTACTGTGAATGTCACAAGTGACCTACGAGTTGTATTTCATATCTTCTTCTCATTTCTTCTTAACTCCAATATATTTAACATACACTCAATGTTGTGATGATAACTTTGACAAACAGTATATGGTATTTGCACTCATTAAAAGACTGTTGAATAGCACAATTTTTTTTTCCTTACCCATTTCAGACATCTCTGGCACAGTAACAATGTATGGTCCATCTGTAAATTTTGGTGCATTGTCATTGATATCCTGCACTTTGATAATGAACTCAGATTCGGGCTCGAGTGGCTTGTTTGTCCGTCTGTCAATAGCTTGGGCATGAAGCACATAGTGTGTCTTCTGCTCTCGATCTAGGCTTTTGGTTGAATGGATGTCTCCAGTTGTGTCATCAATAATAAATATAGTCCCTGCCCCTTCTCCAGTAAGAATGTATTTGACTGATCCATCACCTTTGTCGGAATTGGAATGCAGCTGTAGAATAAAACGACATAAAATCATATAAAATTAATTACATATTTCATAAGATACGAAAACTATAACATTACTGTCAGCACCTTTCTATTTTGTTTTCACCTCTCCGAATTCTTGACATAATTCCTCGTATGCTCTTTCTGGCAACACAGTCACTTTGTTGGGGGTAATTTTCCACCCAGCATATTTAATTTATTAAACTGGGATTCCTTGGGTTATGCATCTATTCTAGAAAACTTCCTTAAGTCAAGAATATTCTAGTAACTGTGATGGTTTTTGTTTTATTTCGTTTTGGTTTTAGTCCTTTTTGTTGTTATTTTTCAGCACTCATTGCTTGAAACCCTGTCCTAACAACTAAACTGGATACATTCCCACTGAGAATTGTCCCACCTACATTTTCGTCTGTAGCCACAAGGACAACATCATTTACTGTCAAAGGAAACTGCACACTGTGTCAGTGGCAGATGTCTCTATCCCACAACAAACATTGGCATTTTCTTTGGATTTTGTTAGTTTATTTTTAGCTAGAAAGCTATCTAATTTGCTTGTATTTAAATTATTTATAGTTAAATGATGAAGTTTGACAGAGACTTTCAGCATTTTAATTGTTCATAACACCTTGTGCTATGAAATATATATTAAATATATTGTATTCTTTCTTTAGTACAGTAAAGTTGTAAACTGTTGGGGGAGTGGGGGGTGGGTGGAAGGAAAACCCAGTAAGTAGATTGGTATGTTAAAAGATAACATGAAATGGTTTACCCCTGCCTCACTGCTGCTAACCTAATTTTAAAGAATTGCCTGTTTATAACAAAAATGAACATTTGTTCTTTGATAAGAAAGGGAGATTTTTATATAAACTGAGAAGTTTTGTGGATTTGCATGTTTTTTTCCTTTGAAACAACTTTAAGAATATAATGTATTTATTGAGGAGCATAATAAGAACAAAGTGATAAAGCAGAAAGGAACAGCCTCAGGTATTGTGCAGTTATACTGTGATGTGAAATCAGAAAGGAAAACTTCCTTATTTTAAGAAGACACACATTTGTATCCTTATCCTACTGCCTACTGCCCTGAATATGTTTTAGTATCTGCAGTGTGTCATTATGAAATTTTGATACAGAATCTGAGTAAAGCATAAAGAGAATTACAAGTATTATTTTTAATTCATAGGAAGCAAGGTGTTACTTTCTTGTTTTCATTCTCAGTTCAAAAACCATAGAAGGTTGGATAGAAAGAAAATAAGACTTGTATGGGAGAAAACAACTTCTTTTTTTTAGTTAAAACACAAGATACAGAGGTAAGGATATTTTCTCACACACTAGGTGTATTTTTTTTTCTGGACCTTTGTTTTGCCTTTGAAATTATCTTCCTTGTTATTAGTAAAAGGAATAAACATATGGTGCTTGATGAGACTTTTCATCTTTTCTAGAAAACTCATGAAATTATGGTGTTGCACATAATTGATATCTTTTATGGTAGGGGCCTTGGAAGGGGCAAATTTAATAAATTGAAGTTTTTCAACTCATAAATTTCAGTACAGCTTCAGTCAATGCACTATCTACTTATCTGAGTCACATGAAGATCTGACTGAATAATGAACACAAAACTGGGTCACTACTGTGGACCCCTTTTATTTTCTTAATCAAAGAAAGAAATAAGTAGCAATAGGGTCTGTTTGTTTGGCAAGCTTTTATAGGGCAGCAGAACAGTCTTACACATTTCATTTACAGTAGTCATTGGCAAAATTAATTGCTTCCTATCCTTAGGAAAACACTGTATTAACAAAGGAATAATTCACTCTATATAAAACATCAAGAATCCAAACTTCCAACATGTCAAAGTGTTATTTTAAGTGTTTTATTTCTAAAAAAACAATAGTAGTGGGTATTCTGGTATTCTAGAATAGATTCTTTAATTTCTCAAAACCAATTAGAATTGTAGGATCCTTTTGGGATACAATGAGCCCTCAATGCTAGTGTTTGCCAATGTTAACAGTAAAATGACAAATTTGATGAGTTTATGATGCTATAAGGAGCTCAAAACTAATCCAAACAGAAAAAGATCTGAAAGCTTTCCACCATGCTTCTCTCCTTCTACCACTACAGGAGTATATGTAAAAGCATATTCAGGTATACCAAATAGAGATCCCAGCAAAAATCACTGCATCTATAAATGCAATTATGAACACATGAATCAATTAAAAAATTCTAGGTAACAAACACACATAATAAGGAATTTCTGTAGAATATAAAAAGTAAGGTTCTCCAAAACATCAAATATCTACATAGGCATGCCATTCCAATACCACACTGCAGAAAGGCACATTCACAAATTCATTATGATGGCACAAAATTCATGGACCATTCCAAAAATTAATGACATTAGCTGCTTTTTTATTGTGAATAAATCTCTCTTTGTACTTGTCATCAGTGAAGAAAATACAGATTTATTTTGAATCAGAGGGTTTTTACATCTAAAAGTGAGAAAAGTTACGAAACACAAAATATACTCAGCTGCTTTCATGGTCAACAAATTTTACGTTGTTCCTGCTGAACACTGTGTTACTCAATAAGCTTTAACTGACAAATAAAGGCAAGAGTATCATCAGAAGAAAACTATCTGTGTATTAATAACAACTGAAAGCTTTCCATTTACAACTGGGTATTTTAAACTGCAGTTGTAAAGCAACAACTGAAAAGAAGTAAAAGCTAAAAGAAGTTCCTGCTTCCTTACTTCCAGACATGTCTTACATTGTTTGAAATATAACACTTTGATTTTTGCATTTTAACATCTAATGCTGAATTTTAAACTCACAGAGGAGGATTCTGCATAGCAAAATGGCATTTTCTTTGTCAGTTGTTTATATCTCAGTTTTCCTGCAAAGCAAAGATTAAAGAACTGTTTGTCTTCTTTAATTCTTCCATCTTAGTACAAATTGGTCCAAGTAGAAAAATATCAAGACTTCTCTCAAATGCTTGTTTGCAATATGCGTTGTGCTAAGAGAGCCCCTGGGAATCCCTACTTCAGACAATGTTTACTAGATTAACTAGAGATTTATGTCCCTGAGCATGGTGCACTTCTCTCTTTTCTCTTTGTGCTATGAAATCATCTCCACAACAAGAGGTTTACTCCACAAAAACATTTCCAATTACAATTAATGTGATTCATCTCTTAGGTTGCAAATACATGGTTGCAAATACATGGTTTGGGAGAGTGTATCTCTGCAGCGCTGCCTATAATAGTTTCTAAAAGACATTGAGGGGGCAAAATCTAGCTGAACAATAGTGGCCTTTCTGCTTGGGACTGCTATAGTTATTTCTCTTTCAGATTAATTTGGCACAGAGGAGAATGTCATTAAGCAATGCAAATGCAAGCCAGCCCATGTTTTGTTCAGACCTAACTCGTGTGACCTGGGGAAGTCTTCTCAAAGCAGATCCCTAGAAAGGGTGTGGCCCAGTCATGACCCACTTGAGGGACTTCCCAGTGTCCCACTCCCAGGGAGCTCAGGGAGCTTCCTCACTTTGCTGATCTGTGACAGCAACATCTCCAATTCTCCAAACTGCAGTCAATGAAGACTTAGGAATTCCCTGTGGAAATGTGGACTCCATTCTAAGTGCTGGGCTGGCTTACTGCTGGTTTGGTTATGCTACAAGAATATATCTGTTTAATACTCTGAATCTGTCCACAACCAGAAGATGCCAGAAAGTATTCCATTTTCATCCCCTTTGGTCATTATTCCTGTCTTTATTTCTCTGATTTTTTTAGGGAAAGAAGAAGCTGAAAATGATAGCAAATGGGCATATCTGGAATATCCCCTTTTTCAACCCAGTGATCTACACTTCTTGACATATTTAATAACAAGTTGCATCCAGGAAGATTTATGATGGTTCTTCAGTCTTTAACTATTCCACATCAGTAGTGTATGGCTGATTTTGCAGAACAGTAACCAAGGTGTCCCTGTTTTGCTAAGACTCCAACATTTTTCTTCCATCAGTCCATTTAAAAGCTTATTTTCTTTTACAATTCCTGCAGAACCTGCAGAAGGGTTACATTAATCAAAGCCATGATTTGCAGATACATGCAAATATTTCAGTTAATAAGTATTCTTTATATTCTTATATTAATTTTGATACTATGCATCTTTAAATACTTTTTTTGATGCACCACCATACTAACTGCTGTAAAATGAATTTACAGATTGAAGGCTAATTACCCACCTAGTAAAGTGTTGTTACTGTTTGCAAATGAAAAATGATCAAGTGGCTAAAGCCTAATCACAACCACAAATATCAGGAGGCTGCTGCTTAGTCCCTGGCCTTATTCACTACTAGTCAACTTCATACATCTGCATTGTTTTAGCTGATGCTTAGACACTTCATACATCCAAATATTTATACATACCTACTTGCCAAGCAACTGACCACACAGGCAGAAAGTACTGGACAATAGGAAAGAGGCTCAATGGGAAAAAACCATACCAATAGGTACTACAAAACTAAAACTCAATTCAAAAATTGAGAAGAAAGCCAACATCCGAGTTCTCCTGGGAATGCGGAATGTTAACAACTCACAGTGATCACCATGCTCCCCTGCACTTGCCTGAGGAAAACAAGCTGCATCCAGGAAACCATGCATGACAAGAAGAGAAAAAAGCCTGGATAAGAGGGGCAATTGTAAAGCAGAAGAGTTGTCTGTTACTGATTTAACTGCATGACTGCTTCCTCCTGTTTGCTTTAGTTGAAAAATCAGCATTCTTGGAGTGTAGTGAGGATGGCATTTTAAGTGGACTGCTTATGACTTTTACAGTATTTTTAGTTGGACTACCAGTAAATTCTTAATATATGATCCGGATATATCTTATTCTAAAACCAAAAAATATTATGAAGAGATTGCCTTATACAAACTAAATTCAAATCCAAGGCTGATTTGAAAAAAATCAAGAAATGTTGCATTAATCTAACACATTTAATCAGAGTAGAAGTGGTTATGTACATAAA